TCAGCTCATGCACAGGTGCACCAGCAGATCACAGCCTTCAACACGATTATAGAGAAAAACCAGTTATGAACCACAACCTTATATGGTTTATAGGTGAAATGGCCAGCAAACAGCAAAGCCCTCCAACTTCTAAAGTGACAAGTACAAGCTCCCCTCTGGGAGCCTCCAATTTCCCAGGTCAAACCACCAGGTTATGATTTACAAGTGGTTCCATGGAGGGCAGCCAAATGGTGAGCCTGGAAGGAGACAAGAATTCACACCTCGGGCTCCAAACCCCCGGTTTAACTCTTCTGCTGCTGCAGCTCCAGGCAGGATGCAGAGATTTTTGCATTTRTAATGCCTTCACATGAAAAAATTACACCTTTCAGGCCACCATGCCTCAATATTACCAACCATATTAAAGTAAACAAACAGTTTCCTATCAGCCCAAGACAAGTCAGATAATATAAGAAGTTATCTGAGCCTGTCACGTTTCAGGTATCACCAGTATGTCCCTCCCATGTAGTTCCTTAGATGGGAAAARAGATTCCCAAGAATAATAACCAGTACAAAAGAAAGAGAAAAAGGAGAAAAATTTCCATTAAAAAAGAAATTAATTCTGGGAAACTCATTCATTCAGTGTAAGATGAAGATTAGAATTCAGTTGCCAAAAGCTTACCTACTCAAAATTCATCATTTCACATTATGCATAATGATATATCCACAAAGTTGTTCTGTTTCTCATTATTCTTGAATTGCTGATCTACACTATTTCCAAAAGTGACATTATGCTGTCTTGCAGTCAACTCTGACCAATTATTTAGCACATTTAAGAAAGCAGAACCTGTGCCGAATCAAGCACTAAATCAGAAGGGTAACATTTACTGCAAAACCAGAACGATTTCCAAATGTCATTCAAACTGAATATAGGCCTCTTCATTAATCCTCCAACATTTTTCAAATAGGAATTTCTAACAAAAAAAAAAACCAGCTCTTAAATTTTGGAATGGTATCATATCAAGTGACTTTACACTAAGCAAAATTTAAGCAAAGACAGGAAACCACCAACAAGTTTTGATAAGCCTTGAGGTATTGCAAAATAAAATTAAAGAAACTCATCAACTCTGACTCCTGAAATGTTTGTGATCTTTCCTAAATATAAAGAACTTCTGTTTACAGCTGCTGCCCTGATATTGTTAAACATATGCAGTCTTCAAAACCCAAAGCCCAGGTGATCTGGGGATGTCAGAATGCGTCATTATTCTGTGAAAGGGATTTCTGCATCTGCCTTGAAGCAGCAGGACTGGAGTTAAAAAGATTCTCATCCAGGCACACCAGCAATCCTGATACACAACCATGGTCCAACAGGAGACCCATCCCAAGAAAGTGGAAATCTTCATCCCCACCCTTTGGTGAGGGTTTGCTGACCAGCACCTTGCAAACCTGGGAAGCCCATTGGACTCACTGCAATGGAGCATTTCTGCCCAGGACACTGCCCACCCAACCTAACACACACCCAAACAGGCCATAGCTCTAAATATAGGCCTTCCTTCACCCATTGCAACAGCTTGTACAAAAAAGGCTTTAAATAAAGGCAGGCAACCTTCCAGGACATTTGCTGAATGCCTGTGTATAACATATTCTTGTTACTTACCACACTTATTGATTAAAGACTTGTTTCCCAGAATAGGCTTTTTATGTAAATAAATTAATATATTCTTAAATTATATCACAGATGTCCATAAAATCCTAATTATATAAAACTCATAACATTGTAATTACACACTGATCAAGTAATCATGTACTGTGCTTAAAGACTATTTTGGAGCAACATTAGGTTTCCYATTTTGTTTTACTTAAATAAGACAGCAAGGGTCTGGTCATCATCACACTCACAAATGGTGACCAGATTTTGTACAGGCTAGGAAAAAAAGTGTATTAAACTATACTGCAAAGCTATAAAAAAATTAATAGCTATTTCCAATAGACTTCATTAAAGCCAGAATTTTCAAGGGAAAACATTCMTATAAAAATAACTTCCTCCATACATCCCTATAAGAACATGTTCCACAACTGGCATGAATTCATGAAATTGAAATAGCACGAGAAAATGCCCCTGGAATGATCCAGCTGAAGCCAACTCTTCCCTCCATTTGTTAGGAAATTGAAGCAAATTTCCACTGAGACTTCACCTCAGCTGCAGCACTCAGAGATGCCAGAATAACAGCACCTGAACTCTTTCATCCTTCTTACCACAAACAAATTAAACTGATTCTAGAATTACTGAAAATGTCTCGTATCTTACTGAGGGTGTTACACAGAAYGAAACATTTTCTGGAATGAGGGTAATTGCGCTCTCCTTTAATCTCACGGTTCATCACTTCCAAGTTAGAACAATCAATTCATGACATCTCTTAAACAACTTGAGATCAAAAACTGCTGTAGATTCATATTTTGATTAAATTAAAGGACAAATATGGGTGCACAAAGATTTGCCAGCTCATAAAGAGGACCAGCTGTGACACATGGCCTCATTTTCTTCTTCAGTAATTTGACTTTCCTGTTACCCCCAGAAGAGTGCAAGCCAGATCCCAAAGACAAGACTCAGCACTTGTTTAATTTTGGACATAATTCTCTTTTCTTCCTAAAGACCTTTATTCCAACCCACATTTCCATCAACTACAGCAGTCTTATTCCACCTGCTATCAATTTGTTTTTATTGTAATCAGACCACATTTCCTTTTACTCTTTTGAAAGGTTTACATTATTTTCACTTGTTCAAAGGTTGTGTATAAAATATTTTCAATCTTAATTAGATTAATTCTTTCAGAAGCCATGAACTTCCATGCCATCTGTCTCGACATCAGATGCACCAACAGTTGCTCATCTGTCGACATAAAATTATCAATGGCACCGCGAAATAAAGGGAAGAAGGAAAAATCTGTGCAAATCCTCGCAAATGCAATATACCAAAGGCAAAGAGTGAGGAAGATTTAACGTGAAGGCATAAGTTTTTCTTGTTAGATTTTCCAGCAGTTCCCTGCATAGCCATGKAAATGAATCACTGCCTGGCTAACATGAGGTGTTAAGCTGAGCAGATCAATGACAGCAGTAACTTGCCAAGATGAACCTTTGCTCTAAGCAAGCAGGAATGGCTGTCACTGGCACCGTAACCAAGTAAACAAAACTACAACAAAGAAATACAGGATAAAACAGGATCAAGAGCTGCACAGGTGAAAGCAACAACGACGAAAATAAAAACTTATTATGGTCGACCTGAGCTCTAACACAGAACCATGTATCTGTGAATCATCAACCATTCAGTATTTAAAGAGCAGATGGCTGCAAGGTCCCATATGTTAAAAATATTATTATCAAGGAGTCCATAGTAACAGTGGAATAACCCTTGCTATTAAGACTTTCATATGAACTGTTATTAGACAGAAAATTATTCACTGACCCATGTTAGAAGCCTGAAAATGGAAGGTTTCTCAGACGAAGAAAAACCAGTAAGTACCAAAAAGGCTTTTGAAGATAATCAATAATCATCAGATCTCATCTCCAAAAAGAACAGTTCTCAACTGACTTTAACAATAATCTRATCTTGATATTTAATTGCCACTTACCAGTCTGTTAATTAGCCCCAAGGCTAAACAGCATTTAATCGAGTTTAATCACCCTTGTTTAAAGGAACATTACCCAAAACCAGCCTTTAAATAATAAAAATTCATTTCAAATTAGATWGATGGCAATGACATTGAAATGTTAGGAGACTACTCTGTAGTGGCTGCCCTTCACTTCCCCAAAAGCACTGCCAAAGCGAGCACCTTATTAAGAATTGTCACCAATTGCTGCCCAACGTGCAGGGAAAGCAGCAGATGCCAGGCAAACTTCTCTCCGTGGCCATGCACAACAAGGACACGCACATGCAACTCCCTTTCCTTGCTGACAGCCTGATTTCCACTCAACAGATGTCGTGCACGTTACACTGCATTAGAGGGGCAGAAGCCTAAAATAKTTCAACTTCACATTTTCTGATTACTCCTACCAGAGCTGGCCAGCAAGAGCRACCTCCTCTGAAATAACATCTAGATTCAGGGGCTATTGCATTACCACCTGATGAGTAACTGAAATTTGAGCAGCCACATCCACCCTGCAGCATGTGAACTTCAAAACCAGCCCTCTGGTGCTATGTTGGCTCAAGTTTTAAGTAGGTACCACTGAGCTCTGGTTTCATAACTACACACACAAAGATCTCCAGCGTGTGTGAGCCTTCCTTTGCCTGGGACTGTCCCCCTGAGAGTTGGTAAAGTCGCCTCTCAGTGAAAAAGCTGAAGGTTTCCACTGGGGCTGCTGATGGCTGTGCTTGGCCCACATGAGCATAATGAGAAGGAAGAGCTAATCCTGAAGGAAAAATGTACCAGTTGAGCTGTTAAGTGCTTTCATGTAAACTGAGCTGGTTTGGGCTATTTTTGGTTTAGAAACTCTTGTATCCTTYACTCAAGCCTGCTAACAACAGGCTTGATTCTGCTCCTTATTCTTTGCACACCCTGTGCTTGGAGGCTTCAGCCTGGCAGCTACTGTAAGAAAGCAGAGTGGATTTCCAGAGAATAGAGCAGGGTGCCGTATTTAGCAGGGGTTTTCAAAGATCCCACTCTGCTGTTTTAAGTTGGTTTTCTTCACACCAGACATGCCTGTGAGGGCTCCTCTGCTGCACAGCACAAGCTGCACATGTGCTAACATGAGGCAGCACCAGGAACTGGAATACACACACCAGCTGACAGATTTCCACTCCTTAACCCATTTTATCTTCTTCCCTACATAGGACCTACATACAAACGGCAAAAATTTTGTCCCAATAAGCAACATCAACTTGAACATTAAATGGCTGGAAGCAAGTTGTGACTAGGAAGCTGTTTCCTTCTGTTAGGTGTTATTCTCTTGAGCTGTAAAGCTGTTAAGTTCATGGATGGTTATGCCAACACCAAACTTAGAAATTCCTAGTTGACACTTCTCCTTACCTCCACTGAAAAGGATGGTTGTAGCATGGACTAGATGGATTGCTCTGGGCTTGTGAGTTCAGGTAAAATACTAGAGGAGAAGTGACAAGTGCACAGTCAGCACTAAATGGGAATTTAAGATGCTGCAGACCTGGAGCAGATGTAGGWGAGAACATGTGCTGATGAACATCATTTCCTCGGCAGTGGGAGTACAAAGGAGAGGAGATTCTGACAAGGTACCACAGTAGAAAAAAAAAMAGGGTCAATATCGCATCTAGTGTTTCAATAAAGAAAAACAAAGATTAATACAAAAATAAAAGTTATATCTTTTAAACAAATGCAATAAACTAAGTGGTCAAAAGTCATTCCTTTCCATTATCCAAACCAAAATGTATTTTTGAGTCAATTTAATATCTATTTAATGTTATTTTTCCATTACAAAAATCCTCCAATCTGGAATTCTTCAAATCCTTTCTCGCAGTAATTTCAAGGCTTTCTGGAATACCCCCCACTGTCAATCTCTAATYTAAAACATTTAATTGAGAAAAGAGAACAAATTGGTAATGGCACCAGTAGCAAACACASATCATTTGTATCACTGCCCTYMCAATTTGGGARCCATGGTTCCATGCCATGGCTGTGSCAATAACCRAAACACGYAACTGYGAAAATATGAATTACACAAACCATTAACTAGAAAACAACATTTAGCAGTGGCAGTTGTTTTAGAGCAACAACTAATTAAGCCTGAAAGCAGCACTGCAAAATGGCTTTATTCTAATTCCAGCAGTGGGRAAACTGAGGCATGAAGAGGTTAAGTGGTAGAGCACATCAGGACTGCAGCAGAGGGTGCTGATGGCCAGCTCTGTGCTCAGCCCTGTGAACTGTCCTGCCTTTGCAGGGTCAGCAGCAATGCACATTTGGATACACACAGGGCACAGAAAAGGTCYCAGAGTAGCTGCTTTTCAAAAAGCTGCAAACAGACTTCTACATCAACACASAGCAGAGGTTCTAACACCTACTTCAGCGAGCTATACACGATGAGATGTCCTTCACTAGAAATAAAGTAAAAGGTAACTTACAATTATTGGTATTACAATGTGTGTTTATGTTAGATTATAAATTAGTGCCACTGTATTCTTACACCTGTAACTTTCATTTTTGACTGAGGGATGAAAAAAAGTTTTTATTTCCCATATTTAAACATAAAAGGGAGCAAAATGGAAATTTGAGGCATGCTTCAGTTTTGTTTAGAATTCAGMTATTTTACACTTACAGTCCTGAAGCAAGGCATGTTTGTCTATGTTCCTAGCTTTAAATTACCTGATGAATCCAAATACTTATCAGAAAGGCAACCTTTACATACTGGAAATCCTCCCCACCAGCAATCTCTGCTTAAACAGCTGATGAGCTTTACAGTCTGCAGACAGAAAAGGTTAAGCCTGCCTTTTACCCTGCTCCTCCCTCCACCGACTACACAACAGATTCTTTTCACCTCCTCTACTTATGAATATGGAATTACATATACAATTTCCTTACTTTTACCCAATAGAAATAATAAATATAATTACAAACATCATAAATAGCAGTTTCCATTAGTAGATTTCAAAGCATTTATAAAAGACAYASGCATTATWAAGGAGTTGCTTGTTAAAATTTCAWTTGTAGAAATACAAGTGGCAAGACTTCTTGCTTCAAATCTACAAGTTTACAACAGTATTCTTAATTCCAGAAGATAGCAAAGGTTTCTGAAGATTTAATGCTGTGAGAGCTTCCTGATGGATTATTAAATTGCTTTTTAAATCTGAAGAATGATCAAACTAGAAAGACAGAGTTACAAACTTTCAGTTCTACTACACTAATGCTTGGGACAAAACCTAACCACAACGTACCCCAGTTAAAAATATTTAAACACTGCATTTTTTTGGCTATACTTCACGGTTCATACTCCATGAAAGCAAAATGTTAAAGCTTCCAAAATGAAATTTCCTGTACAGCCAAATAAGCATGACAGATAAARAAAGTTCTAATGAATCAAAGCAACGTCTATCAGCCGCAGAAAATTCTGACCGGTTTTTCTCCATAGCTTCAGTTTGAAATGATTAAGTGCAATTTATTTTTCACAACAGTCCTTACTGGATCCGCAGAGATGGGGCTCCAAGCCTCTGTTTCCTCCGTTTCATCATTGTGCTGATACACTGATATGCCTCTTCCCAGCATAAGAGGCTTAGAGCTGGGAAGGAGAGGCCACCGTTATCACTCCAACGCAGAGCACACAACAATCAGCGCAATTCCAAAGCTCTTCACGGACCCCCAGTGTCACAGAGACCTCGGGAGTTCAGTCATGCTCCAGATTAATCACACAGCTCATGTCAAAAACATAATTATTTTTTAAAAAAATTCAGATTAACAAGTCTTCTGCGAGCCTATTCACAGCATCCAGCGAAATGAAGGACTGGAAGGTGCCGACAAGCCCAGGACACAGAGGGACCATCTGACCTGTGGCACCGGCAGCAATATGGTCCGGCTGAGCCCGCCGCAAATCAGCCACAAACTGCCGGGCTTGCAGCACTCCTGAGCGAAGCAGAGGGAGAGGATTGTGGCAGGAATGTCCCGGAGCAGCCCCGGAGAGGAGCGGAGAGGAGCGGGGCAGAGCAGCGCTCGCAGCCCCGGGCGCTGTGCGGGGAGCGGCAGCTGCTCCGGCCGCCGGGACACGTGAACCGGCCCTCATGGAAATCAATCCCCTCCACTCCGCCCGCAACCTGCATCCTAAAACATCGCCCCGTAACTCCCGAGCCGCGTYCCGGACACAAACTTCATGGATTCCAGCGCTGAGAGCCTGGGGAGCCGTTTGCTGAACGGGAGGAAGGGGGGGACACTTTCATCAGGAGGAAATGTTCCCTCTGCTTGCGAACAGCAACTTCAAACAGCTCGAAATCAATTTCATGCTCTTAACAAAACTGCCCCAAATAATGCCCAACACTTTTTAAATGTCACTTTCCCCAAAAAACTTCCACATGTATGTTTGATAGGCTTTAAAGTGCTAAAAGGCTGCATTTAGAGTGCCATCATCAACCCAGTCAAATTCCAGGTGACAATTCCAATCTCCAGACCCTCCCATGATTCTGATCGCAGCCCCACAATACAAAATTCCAGCCTGACACCAGTCAGGAGAACAGAGTGCCAGGCTCAGGGTGTTCCTTACAYTGCCAGAGCCCCTGCCCCCCACGCCGTGCCTCTGGACAGCACAGCAAGCAACAAAAAGTACAAATTTGGTATGCTACATATAATTCTATTGCACTTATTAAATGAGAGYCTGGATTAAGTAGTGGAAACTTGACAATAAAAACTGCACAAAGTACTTTTTCCACTTTTAAATCCTTGATGAAAACCTCCATAAATTTTTTGTCTCTGAGATTACAGTCTATACAGAACTCCTGATTCACCAAATCACTTCTTTTAGAGAAACGATGCTTTCGAATTATTTTTAAAGYCTAATAACATGACTAGCTGCACTGCTACGAAGCCCCACAAGAATAATTTGGCATRTCCCACCTCCAGAACCAGTCCCATGGATCAGCTTAAGAGAAGCAGGTTATTTTTGACCTAGGGCTCGCGAGCTGCTTCCACACACTCAGAGAAGGATGGGGTGGTCAAAAAAGAGCACCTCTTTCTGTACAAAGCACCACAAGCAGAATGCATTGATTGGGGGCCATTATTTCTTACTTGATTTCCAGATCCAAATCACAACAGAGTGCAAAAGTAGCAAAATAGCCTGTTTCTTTTTCAAAACCATTTTTCATCCACTTCCAGCACTTTGGCTTTTCCACTCTTGGGACAATGGCACTCGCTCCTGGCACAGAAACAGCATCGATCCATCACCAGCTGAAACATTCACCCGCCAAGACGAGCAGAAACTGAATTATATACTCCATTTCTCTGCAGACACACAGGAAATTCCCACTGCACCTGAGCATGGCAGCAGGAAAACACAAACCAGCACTAAAGGCCAGAAATTTTCTTTCCTGCCATCAAACTTCCTATTGTTTCCGAGGTCTAAACATTAAAAAGAATACAAGTAGTTCAGCACATCCCCCCAAAGAAATTCCTTGGTGTGTTTGTGTGTTATTTTACTGTCAAGAAGCTGRGGGTAAATCTAATAAATTATGGTGAAGACTTGTTTAATGAACCCCCCTCAGAAATGTCTAGGGCAGCAGAAACTAAGAATCTTCAGAGGTTTGTAAGTAGAAGAGTAGTGCAGAGAAGGAGGGAGAGAATGAGAGAAAACAYGTCCCACAGGGGACATAAGCTGCCTCAAAAAGTGATTAGAAGGAATAAAGACCACCATAAAAGGCTTGCACATGTCTTTAGCAAACACTTTTAATGTTGCTTACATATTTCAGAGATAGACAAAAAAACTTCAGGTAAATACCACTCTTTACCAGCACCAATCACCATCCAAACAGTAGTATGTAATATCTAAATTATATCTGGTTCATATAAATGTGCATTTTTACTGGATATATTCTGGACTATAATTTTTTCACGTTTCTTATGCCTCCATGTTCTTTTTCCATCTGTATACAGACTTCAAAAGTGTATTTGATACAGATGGTTGATAGCAGGAAATAATTAACAAAAACAATTTATAGCTGAAGTTAGAAACTGGTTTAGCAAATTTAGCTTGCTGAGAAATTACTCTTTTCAAATTTGGATATAATATGGGAAAGCCATATTTTATTTTTAGAGAAGTTTACATTTAGAGAGCACAAAAAATACAGCAACCCATACCATTAACCCTGCCTTAGAAACCATGAGGATTTGAACTATAAACCCACATTCTGCATTAAAAAGGCTGAACAGGCCAATGAAATTCATATTGTAAAGAATTCATYATTAATTTATTATTATTATTGGGGTACTGAACAAGAAACCAGATGGCTCAAGGACAACCTAAGCTGGATTTAGTGACAACTGATCGGCCAAGGAGGCAACCAGAAGCAATAGTGAGTTCCAAGCTGGTGCTGTGCACCCTACAGACAAAATTAAAACTGCAGTTTGCAGCTTGGTCTTCTGGGTGCTGAGCTGCTCTTAAACACAGGAACAGACAGAGGGGCTTCACCTCGGGCCTCTGCTGCTGACAAATCSCCACCTTTGTCCTTTCAAGCCTGGAACGTCTCTAGAGCCATTCACGTGCAGGTGCACAGCAAAACCATGTGAGAGCTGCAGCCAACAATACAAAAAACAACCTCTGTACAGAGGACAGAGCAGGATAATGGCTGAAAATAATTAAACCACTTCCACTAATAGGCTGCAGATCAAAGTTTGAGTCTATCATTCCAYATTCGCTATTTGAAACTAAAGAAAATATTCATGAATGGTAATTATTTCTTTTGTGAACAAAGCATGGGGAAAAACATAACCAATACATTTATATGCATAATTCATTAAAGGAAAACTTTGAACTCTGATTATTGAACCACACCAGAGACAAAACATAACTACTTATTCCTGTTCTCTAACTATTCAATCTCTTAGCAGCCTACAATTCAGCTGAATATAATTTCCTTTAGTGCATTAAACATAACCCCCTATAGAAACACAAACACTTTAAGCCCATTAACAGCAAAATGGTATCTAAATTATCAGGCATTTCTCTTAATGTCACCCTGCATACGATTCCCCCAGCTGTTTTACATGTCTGCTCTCTCCGTGCTGATTATTTCAAAATTAAGATTGCAAGACATCCAAGTGCAAAGCAATYCTTTACAGAGTGCCTGTGTTTCCTTTTGCTAATATGGAAACAGTCATCAACACTCATCAACACTCCATCCCACCATTCATTCTCTTCAGCTTCTGCCCAAGACCTCCTTTAGGTGACAAAATTTCTCCTGTTCTCCTGACAAAAACAGTGAGACACGTAACTCCACTCCTTTTCTTTGGCACAAGCAAGCACAGCAACTGTTGTTCTCCCTACCTACAATCAGTTCCTGCAATAAAACAGATTGTCATACTGACCCAGGAAATATGAAGCATTGAAAATCAAACAAAGAAAAAGCTGCAAGTATTGTCAGGAATAGCTCATCCTTTTCCATTCAGCAATGACAAATACCTGAAAAACCTTTCTAACTCAACAGTCCACCAAAGCAATCACCAAACCAGCAGAAACACCCAAGTCCTCATTCTGCTTCTGGCTGGCTGGAAAATATATATTCCTCTCAAAATATGATTTTTTTTTTATGGTAGGAAGTGCACCCCAACCTCCAGACTAGCAYACATTAAAATGCTGAGTGGCTGATGTTTGTATACAATGCAATTGCTACTGAACTGCTCCAAAGGCTGGAGTTTGTGCAGAAAATGGATTCACCTCTTGAGGGTTTCTGGCTCCAAGCCAGGCACTTCATCCTCCTGTCCATTCCAGCTTCTGCTTCTGTCAGTGAGCAAAAGTCAGTGGCTGACAGTCAATGAATCAGGACATGGCTACACCCATAACTATCCCTTGTCAGCCACAGCACAACAGCTTTCCAGAATAAATTTTATTTTCAGAACTTATTTTTGTTTATGAGGTTCACTGTTAAGTTGATTCAAGCAGAGGAACTGAGAACAGCCTACAGTTGTAATAACATCCTTTTTGAGAGAATGGTTGAACAAATGTRTACACAGTATGTGCATATTTTACCTTATATCACATGCATATTTTATAATTATTCCCTTGACATAAATTTCTCTMATTTCTAATTTAAAAACTAAAAGGATTTTTTTTTTTTAAATCAAGTAAGTATTCTGATACTGGGATATGCAAGATCATGTAGATCAACTCCACCAGACCCTTCTCAGTGAGCCTGTGCATTTCATAGCACAGCATCAACACAACTCTACATCAGCCACAAAGCACCACTGACTTCATGAACAGCTAAACTTCTCAAACAACAAGAAATCATTTGGTTCTTGAATACACTTGGTACTTGACTTAACCACAGAATCTGTAATTCTAGAAACTACAATCAAATAATCAGCTAAATAACACAGRCAACTAAGACATTTCAATTCTTCATAGATTTTTAGTCTCACTAAAAGCTGCAACCTYGTGCTTAAAATTTATGGCCTGGGTCTTCTTGACACAGGTTGCTAAATTTCTTCACATACTGACAGCTTAAAAGGCACTCACTTGTGGAAGAAAACTAAAATGRAGTAATGAAAATTGCAGGAGTTAAGTAATACAGAAATAAAATATTCAGTTACTTGGTTTAGTTACCAGTAACTAAAACACTACACATTTGAAACACTTCATTTGTATCTCAGATACCTCAAATGAAAATACCTGAGTCGTCTTGTGTCATACCCACCTCCATRCTGGAATGAGCTGGAATATCTCTGGCATCCTCAATTTCAATTCCAAAAGTTTTGTGCAAAAAATACCTAAGTTACATTAAATAAAAAACTTACTGGTAACTCCCCGCTCCACTGTTTGATCAAAGAACCTTCATAACCTTCAAATGATGAACACCACCTGTCTTAGAAATCTCTCAAATCTCGTTAAGCCAACCTTTGGGGCATACTGGTTAAAAAATACCAAAACCAGTCAGTGCTTCATGTACTTTAAATAACTCCCTGACTGGTTTATCATTGTCATATGAACGAAACAAAAAGGTCTGGTCATGCCCCATTTTTAAAAAAAGACCTTTTGATCTGCTGTATTGTTCGGCCCTGAATCACTGGCTCTACACAGCATTTTCCAAACACTGTTTCATATACAAAGGGGATAGCTTACATTGAAAAACTGAAAATCATTTCTCATTAGAGCCAGAAACCTGAGGAAGAAAGGTTATAAGCTTTTGTGAGCTCCATGTCTGTAGYCCACAAGCTTTGGGAAACAATTTTAAATCATAATGCAATAGCAGGCAGTACAAAAGCTTTCTCTTTTATATAATGCAATCAATAATGCAATTTCTTCCACCATAAATCTGTAAGTATAGCAGAAGCTAAGCTCTTATAATACCATTGAAACACAAGTTAGTTGGCTAAAATTCTTTAAGCATCATAATGCATTTTTAAAAATTGCTCTTTGTTTAAATCACAGTTTTAAAAGCCTACTTTTCCTGACATGTGCTACTTTATTGAAATACCTCCATCAGGCTGCCTGCTCCACAAACCCCTGACCTGTGTGGCCCAGGAGCTGTGTGCTTACACTTCTGTCAACACACTGTTTGAAGAACACTGATCAAAGTTGTCCACATCACATAAATAATCAGTGACTTCTCTTCTGTGGAGTCACTTCAGTGATGTCAGAGTGGCAACACTCAACACCACAGCTACTTCCATATCAGGATCAGCTCAAGCTGGTAATTAGAAGTAAACTTACACTGCTTTTCCTACTACAYTTAAGAAAATGAATAGAGGCTTCAGTCTCAGAGAAATCCAAGCTAGCTGCTTCCAGGCCCATGACAGATTCTTGAAAATGCTAAGAGAAAACAGAGCATCTGCCCATCTAGATTACTTCCACAACTGAACAGCTATATATGTTCAAAACAAACCAAGGGATGAACAAAGAATAATTATACTTACAAGCTTCCTCTTCTRGGGAGACTGAGCTCTTTCTGTAAAACAATAAGAATGAAAACCTTGAGTTAATTTTAGTTTTTATTATACATTACTGATTTACTTATCAATAAATGACTGATTTGAAATGAATAAAGAACTGGCCATTTCCCAGCGCATGCTCAGTGTAGAACTGCACCGCTGCTGCACATTCACAAKGCACAGTCTGGGGTACAAAAGTTGCTCATTTTGCCTAAACAATCATTGCCTTTGTAGTCAAAAAATCATAAGCACTCAACAGAGCAAACATAACTTTGAAATTCAAGCCTGAGCACAGAYAAGGCAGTAATTAATTCTGTCCTACATACCTCATCAGCATCAGACCGAACCACTTCCAGAAGTGTGGAACRTGGTGTGCCTGCAGCTGCTGCGGTCTGGGCTCACACTCTCACCAAAAGGAAGAATCAATGCAATAGAGTGGATTTTGAGGGCTGGTTTGGGTTTTGGGTTTTTTTTTGTTTTTTTTTTAACATACACATTAGTTGTGTTACGTATTATGACAAAAAATCTGAGGCCAAACACARCTCCCACTTCTCAGCAGCATTTTGCGTTTCAGCAGCACAAGCAATGGCAGACGGGGGATTTTACTGATTTTATTACGGTCGATAGCCTGGAGGCATTCCCAGGCGTGGGCAGCATTGGACAGGGTGCATCCCTGGGCATTGCCAAACCCAGACACGGTGCATCCCTGGGCACTGCCCAGCCCGGACACAGCGCATCCCTGGACACTGCCCAGCCCGGACACAGCGCATCCCTGGACACAGCGCATCCCTGGACACAGCGCATCCCTGGACACGGTGCATCCCTGGACACGGCGCATCCCTGGGCATTGCCAAACCCAGACACGGCACTTCCCTGGGCACTGCCCAGCCCAAACACGGTGCATCCCTGGGCAGTGCCCAGCTCAGACTGGGAGCATCCCTGGACACTGCCCAGCCCTGGGCATTCATTGCCCAGCCCGGACACAGCACATCCCTGGACAGGGTGCATCCCTGGGCACTGCCCAGCCCGGACACAGCACATCCCTGGACA